TAGATAGATAATTTTATAATGTTAACATCTGATTTCTGTTTTTTTTTCTTAAGAAAATATTTTTTTCTTTAGTCTTACATGATCTGTTTTTCTCCTGCTCCTTTTTAGCTAATTTTTTTCCCAGTAAAATTTTAATAATGACAACAAAATTGAAATCTAAAAATTTATAGATATTACTTGAACTCTCTCAACCGGTAGTCCTCTTTCAACTGATCTTGATAATGTTAGTTTCTCCCTTACTTTTAGGTACTTCAGTAAATCTAAGTCTGCACAATTGTACAAAACAAAACCAATAATTCATCAACCATAATCCAAATTATTTTAACCACATATAAAAAGCAATGACCATTTTAGCACACAAACTAACAATCATGCATTGTTACGGCACTAGGGAAACCAAAATCCCTTACCATAGATATGAATGGAATCCTCTCTAGGACATTGGTCGGTTAATAATCAATATGCAGCATTAACAAATTTGTACTGCGTTTTGCTTTTCCAAAGGTGGATATGTTTTATTGGCCCAGTTAGAGCAAATCAAATGTATATTAAGAATGAAATTCCAAATAGAATTGCATGCGGCCAAGTCATTTTCACAAGTTTCGGTTTGATCTCGTTTATTTTATCTATAGCATGATCTGCACGACATGTTAGATAAATCAAACCATTGTTTTAATATAATACACGCTAAAAAAGAAAGTACAGAAGAATCCTTTCTCTTCTGAAACATAGGTGTGCAATAATAACTAACCCACTTTGAAATCAAGATTATGTTGCAACTTTTATGGCTCAGCACTAATAGATAAGTTGAATTAGCCTTTAACGTTTTTTGGTTTCTTAGAAACCAGTTTTTGAATTTCGTATTCAGATATGCTTAGGCTTTGGTTCTCGTTGTGGGGCTAAACTGTTTAAGGTAATCACATACCTGTGAGGTCTATTTTTTATTTTTAATATTATTGACACAAAAGTGTTTATCGGTATTATTGTTTGTTTTATCGAAAAATATAACTGATTATTGTTAGTGGAGTTTGATCTCCCAATAATGTTTTTTCCTTCCATAAAACTTGAACCCTGTTTTTTGCTTAAAAGGATTAAACTTAGTTTCACCTAGATTAAAGACTTTTTAGTGAGTGAGGTCTCTATGTTTGTATATTAGTTTCATATTTAATCTTATATCTATCCACCACGTCTGAAAATATGGGATAATTTGTAAGGATTGACCACGAACTTACTCATCTCTTGCGGCCAAGTGGAGTTGAACATTTCATAAAGTCCAACTTTAATTAAACCACAGCTTATTAGAAAATAAAAAATTTGGATTGTGGACTGAAATTAGATCAGAAAACAACGAAAAAAGCATGAAGAAATTCAAGCACGCATACAAATAATAATATAAAATAGCAGTAATTATTACATGACAATGACTAATATTTCCAATTGTGGATTAAGATAGGAAATGTAATGTAAACACAGTTGACACGTTATATATGAACAAGACTTACAAACCAGTTGGCAGTTGTACTTAGCCATCAACAACTTGACTTAAAAAAAAAACACAAAACAAATCAGGGAAAGTTTAGCATATAATCTGATTCAAATGGAAAGTTGAGAATTATGTAGTTCAAGTGGTTTAGAAATTTGACCAAATTAAGTCACCAAACCAATGTAGTGTACAAGAACAAACAGGTCAATGAAAGGCATACTGATAAGTCTCAAAGTATCTGTACAAACATACTTTTACGCTCATTCCCACAGTTTAGAAAAAAACAAATAGTGAAACTCAATGAAGAGAGAGAGAGAGAGTAAGGAACAATCAAAAGACAAGAAAAGAAAGAGGAGTCTAAATCTGTGTAATGATATTGTTGACCAATCAGTCCAATAATTAATCAGTTTCACACTGGAAGTGCAGGGGGAAAGCATTTTTCTAAACTAAATTTTTGGTTCCTGTTCTGAATTGATTTAAGATTTTGATTTAGTGGAAGATGCAATATAAAGGCCATTCTTATTCATTAATTTCCACCATACTCATGCATTATCATTTTTTCCACCCAGTTGGGTGGTTAAGTCCAAACTCCAAACTCATCTCTCTTTATCCTTGAATGAGTAAGTTTGTTTTCATTTTCTGGAAAATGATGTAACCAAACTCGAGAAACTACATGGGTGACATTCTTTTACTATTTCAAGCATCATATTAACAACAGCTTGGAAGAGAAAGGAGCATAAATCACTAATATGATCTTTTATTTCATTAATGTTGATAACAAAATTAACGTATTAAAAGCAATTGGAAAACTTTAAGGTGTCATGCATTTATCATTTTCTTATTAAACAAACATTAACCTATTGTAAAGAAGAGGCAGTGTGGAACTATTGGCCTCTCTCTGATTGGATATTTAACAACTTGTCAACACCACTAAAAAGATTGCTAGCCTTTTGCCTCTCCCTTAGGGCTATAAAGTCTTTTTACGTTCGAATCATGTATATCATTAAGGTTAATGATACAAATTAATGAAGGAATTATAATTTAGGATATGAAAAAAAAAACATGGATGATCTTTTGATCGTCCTTGGTGGTAACTTTTTTTAACAGTTACTTTCAAATCATTCACAGTCATATACACTTCGATAATAAGCCAGCACGTGTTAGTAGCAAAAGCTTACCCTCACACTTCTTAAATGCAAGTTATTGGATAATATTCTGGTCCCTAGTCCCTACTATAACTGTTTCTAAATGATTTAGTTTGTGAACATATCTTACCTAGTTTATGCAAGTGTCTTTTTCCAAACACAACATTTATATCATTTTAACAGCTTGATACAATGAATACCACAGTTTGGTACCTTGAGCATTTCAGCCACACAATTGGTGTGAGGAGTAATAGCTGATGTTGTTCCTTTTGCTTGAGATTACTATTGAAGCTGTCATTACCTAGACGAAATAAACAACTAGTACCTAACCATACTAAAATAACATAAGTGGTTGATGATCAAAGATTTGGCTTCTAGTTACATATATTATTTATTGCATTTGGAGGTCCCAAAATGAGTGGCTCTTGAGTCATCATATTCATCAACCCGTCTTTCTTCTTGCTCTGTGGAATAATGAGTCTTAGGTACGCCCCCTCATGTTATGTTGAGGACCGGATCTTTAAAGTTTATACAACTGGACATCGGTGAATGATCTTACAACAACCTAATAGAATCAATAATACTCGTTATAATAGACTCTAATATCAACTTAAAAGTTATGGTCACGAAAAATAATGTTTGGAAACAAACTTAAAAATATTTTTGAGAGCTAAAAAATACTCTTTATTTTCAATAAAGAAGATTTTAAGAGTATTTTTATTTTGTATCCAAATAGACTCTGTTGGGATGTAAGTAAAGTTCCACATCGTTCAAACAAGAGGATGAATATGGGTTTATATACACACACTTGTCTTCGTTGGTCGAGAGACCTTTTGGGTGATGTCTAAAAATAAAATCGTGAGAGCTTGGGTCCAAAGCGGACAATATCTGATCAAGTCTAGGTTTGGGATTCCTTGTGTTGAAAGTCTTCCTAACGGTGGGTCCATGTTGAAAATGAGCGTGAGTGAGCTCTGTGGGGGGCACAAATGCAAGCAAAGTTCTACATCATCCAAACAAGAGGATGAACATGTGTTTATATACACACACTTAGCAAAGTTCTACATCGTCCAAACAAGAGAATGAACATGGGTTTATATACACACACTTGTCTTTATTGGTCGAGAGACCTTTTGAGTGATGTCCAAAAACAAAACTGTGAGAGTTTGGACCCAAAGCAGACAATATCTTACAAATGTAGAGATATGTGTGTATTAATTTCCCGGTACACATTAGACTCTAACTTAATTTTATAAAGTTGATTTATAATATACTCTATTTTAATCATATTACTAGTTGATGTTGAATCTCCACCAAAAGCATGCCTTTCCTAATCTCCTTTTTTCTCTAAATTTGTTGTCATTTAAGTGAACCTTATCCAACATAGAATGAGCTTGGAAATTAAGACATTACAGAGTTGATATAATAAATTGACTTCTGGAATTGTGCCTGCTTTTGCCCAAACAGTCTGCAAATTGAATTATTATACTCCCCATGATATGAACTGCCTGTGTCCATCTGATGTAAGCATATTTTGTCCAAAATTATTATCCATTAACCCAAGTTGCCTCCCCCTCGTTGCGTCACCGATGTCTATGTGCCGCATGTCTTTCTCACATAGCTTGTTCAATGAACCTAATGCCCCACATACCACATGATCAGAGCATGCATGTCACATAACGCACATAAATAAACACCACACCACACGCTTGTTTGGATTAAATTTTTTAATTTTAGAAAACATTTTGCTAAAATGCTCAAAAGAGAGTTTGTCATTAGCTTAAATGCCTTTTTCTAACACTTCCTCAACAAGAATTTATAATATAATTTTTTTTTTAACTTTATATAACCATAAAGCTAACTAAAATAAAAGTTAACTTATTTTAACTATTTAATAAAAGAGAACTTATTTTAACTATTTCCACTAATTGTCTAATTTTATTGGAATAAATTACAAGTAACTTATAGAAAAGTTATGTGCCATTTTATAAACTTAACTAAGTTTCCTAAAAGCTCTTCTGCATACTTGCTTAATCCAACAATGTACCCATAAACAAAGGGCAAACTGTGAATCACTGAGTGCGTGTTCAAGATTAATTATTAGTTTCAAGTTTGAATTCTAAGTACATAATTGTATTAAACACTCAAAACAAATGCTTTGTTATCTATAGTAATTCTATCCGACTCGAACAAAATTGTCTCTCATAAATAATACTTGTGATCTCCTAACCAAAAAAAAGGACAAACTGCGATGCTGGAATACTGTATTAACATATTGTGCATGATATTCCATCAAGAAAAACCTCAATACTGTTACCCTACCCACATTGAGTGGGGCCATTTCACCAATTTCCCTCCCTATATATACTCAGCCAACTCTTCTTTCCTTCATCTCCAATAGAAACTGAGTTCTATTTATTCTCCATCAGTGTCTTTTTTCTCCAAGGCCCTGCAATCTTCTGTTCATACACACATTGCTGCATAAACCATGCAAGCCAGAGAGATCACAGGACTGAATTATATACTCCCTTCAGACCCTTGTCCTTTCCCAAGTCACTACAACATGATTGAGAACACCATCCCCACATTTCAACTCCACAAACTCTCAAACCAATTCTATGGTCTCCAAAACTCTCCTCAAGTGGCTGCGGACTTCAGCCCCCCTCAGTCCTCATGCATCAGCAGCAACTCAACCTCTGATGAAGCAGATGAGCAGCAGCAAAGCCTCATCAACGAGAGGAAGCACAGGAGGATGATATCGAACCGCGAATCGGCGCGAAGATCACGCATGAGGAAGCAGAAGCACCTTGATGAGCTCTGGTCACAGGTGGTGTGGCTCAGGAATGAAAACCACCAGCTGATGGACAAGCTGAACCATGTATCTGAGTCACATGACAGAGTTGTGCAAGAGAATGTTCAGCTGATAGAACAAGCCTCAGAACTACGCCAAATGATATGTGACATGCAGCTACATAGTCCATCATACACTCCTCCTTCATTGAGTCCAATTGATGATGATGTCTCTCCCTATGTCAAATCTGATTCATCAATCACAGGCTCCGTGGACCTGCTTGGTTGAATTTGAATTTGAAGACAAGGACAGTTTTTATTAGTACTATATCTCTTCAATTTTTCTTCTTTTAAGTCCTTTGTGTGTGAGTTGTGGTGGAAAAGTACAAGATAGTAGTAGTCTTTGCCTCTCTTTTGAGATGTATGAGGTGAAAAAACCATACATAAACGGCAATGACATGTTTTTGAGTTTCCAATTTTAGTGTCAGCTCATCAATTTTACCACTATCTTCCAAGTTCTAATGATATGTTCTGAGCAATAATATTTATTTAAAGTGGCTACAGGGCTATCTATAAACCTGCTGGGTTAATTGTTAGCACCATCTTGTGGGGCACTTACCATATTCAATAACACCATCATAATTCTTTCCCAGAAAACAATTTAGAAAGCCTTCATTCATGACCTCATCTTCCAGTTCAAGCATTCACCATGAATGCTAGCGACATCTTTTCTACACTCTTTTTATTATTATTGACCGAAATTTATTATAAATAACAAATCTTGGTAGGTTTCACCACTAAATCAAAGAAACCCATTAAACAAGATGTAGGAGCCATCAAAGTTTATGATTTTTAATAAATTTTAATTAATAATAGTGTAATAAAGAAAATATTAAAAAGTGTTGCTAGTATTCCTCTAGACAAAATGTAAAGGTAAAAGAGAATTCTATGAATGTCGAACCTAATTAAAGCTTGTGCATCCTTTATGTTAAATGAATAATGTAAGAAACATGTTAATGGCATGGTTTTTAATATATATATTTTTTCAAGTACTTGTGTTATTAAATAAATTTGATGTGGTGTGACCAGCTAAAATGCATTGTTTTGTTAGTGTTGTGGAAGTAATTATGTGAGGTGGGAGTGTGGGGGGTTGGACATGGTGCAGAGGAAAAAAGGGTGTGTAGTGGTTATTGGGTGACGATGCAAAGGTCGTTGCCGAGAAAAGAGGAAAACATATGGACAGGCTACCCACTACAATCCTCTATACTGTACTCCATGGATGATAATGCCTTCCTTTTTCCCATCCATCTAGAGCTTCACTAAATTTTACTGGAAATAATTAGTGCTTTTTTTTTTTATTGGAATGAGAAATAAAAAGAAGAAACTAACAAAAATACAAATACTGAAACACAGAGTGTTAGCTAGTAACAAACTAGAAAGAGTCATAGAATGCTTTTATAAAATAACTAGTCTATCATTTCCTAAAGCTCTCATTAGAGACAGAGCATCTGCACAACTATTACCCTCATGTAAAGTGTGAACAGCAAGTCCAGTCACAATAATGAGTGCTTTGCTCAATATGTTTTAACTATTCAATAAAATTTATTAGTTTTTTTTATGAATTTTAAATTTTATTTAACAACTCTGGATGATCCAACTTGATGTAACTCATAAAAATATAATTATATTGACTTTAATAAATTAGATTAGTTAGCATTACAATAGCAACCTCTGTCATAATCTCCATTACGTTGATGCCACCTCCTTTGTTGTCAAAGTGTAATTAAAATTCAAACTAGAAGCATAATTATATGCTTTAATTTGTTGTACCATGTTAGGATGGGCTTAACTAGGTTTAAAATTTTCCTAAAATTAAAGTGGTTGAAATATTATATTTGATGAAATTAGATACTTATTTATTTTAAAAAAATAATAGGATGCTGATACATGGATAATTATTATCCATTAATTAACATTAATTTAGGTGTATATAAATGTATTTTTTTTTAAATTCTTATCAATGAATAGAAAATCTAAGCATTTATTTTGTAATTTTATTTTCCTTTTTTCTTATCCTAAATTTAGGTGTAGTTAACATACCACTTATGTTTCTATATCAATTATAATTTTACAATTGTAAGTTAAAAATTACAATTCAATCGATGCAATATTTTTGTTTCAAAACTGCTTTTATCTAAAAAAAATACCACAGTAGACATGAGACTATGTTTTTCTTGTCATGTCATGAGAGTTCACTGGCTTCAAAAATGTAAAGCCAAACCCAAGATTGAATTGTATGTACGTCTTTGATGATGGAATTGGTGTAACTAAGCATGAGGAGTAAGGGTTAAAGGTTACATATTCTTTAGGGCTTCAAGATAAGGAGTATAAAATGTCTAAAGATCCAAATGATATGAGGCACTGGTTTATTCACTTATGGCTTCAATTGGAATTGGTTCAGTAACTTACAAATTCCACCGGCAGTGAGCTTCGGCCTTTGTGAATTTGGGATTAATGATCACTATATTTGTAAGTTGTAGCTGTATTTGAGATATTAACTTTTGTATTTCTCCTCCTACTTCTTATTATTAATTGTTCACTTCAATTTTACTTTAAAAAATTTACAAAGACAGTTTTTTTCACACGAGTATATAACTGTAATATAAATTGGCTTCTTAGGACTGTAGTCGGATATTGATAATTCACAAATTTGAATTCACTCAAACAAATTCAATGAATTTAAAATTTTTTTTCATTCATGTTAGGTCCAATCGCTCAAAATTCAATAATATATAAATTATATATTTTTTTGACTTATGACTCAATCTAATCTAATTATATATAATAAAAAAATTAGTATTTAAATGCTCACTTATTTAAAACAAAACTTTATGTCATTTTTATTTGGTAATAATTTTATTTTTGTTTTTAGATTAATAACATACAACAGTACAATATTTATTTTAAATTTTATTTATATTAATGTTGACTATTTAAGTCGATAGTAATATAGTAAATTAATAAATTTATTTTAAAATTTAATTTATATCATTATTTACTTTATGAGTTTATCAAATGATTCATATTTATTATAAAATATTTAATTTTTTAGAATAAATAAATAAATATAATTATGGTGATCTGATTAACCAACACGTTTATGATCAAGTTGGATTGAGTTAAATTTAAAAAGAAAAAAATATAAACTCAACTTAATCCAATCTATTTAATTTTGATTGAATCGAATAAGAGATTTATTCAAATCTGACTTAATTCAACACGTTTATACTTCTATAATTTCTTCCTAAATGATCAATATATTAGGAGTCAAAACATAAGAGAATCACCATATAATATTATAATAATAAATAATATTATAGTATTTTATTTTAAGTCAAAAAAGTTCATTGTAACATAAATGCTTTTTAATTAAACAAACAAATAAACTCAAAACATCACTTAAATGTGATTTCTTTTTACATCAACTAAAATGTGAAAGTTAAAAAACATAAAAGACAGTGCATGCATATGAACTCAAACCTTTTTAGTGGAATTAGGGTAGTATGCGGTATTATAGTGGTTATTATAATTTTGATGAATAAAAAAATATAAAATGTAAAATAATGTGTTAAAAAAATATTAGATATGTAATTTACTAAAATAATAATTGATATTTGAAAATATTATATTACATTCCCATTTCAAATCATGTTATTGCCATTGTAAACGTTAGGGAAATGTATGCATATTAAAAGCTTATTATCAAATAAAAAGTAATTATTATAAAAATTGAATTTATTTGTATAATTACTTTTTATTTGATAATATATTTTTAATGTGTATATTTATATTTTTTTAATATACAATTACAATACTAAGATGTGAATTTAGGACATTATGAATATTATCTCAACCATCTTATCATTAAGTCAACCTAACTAGTAATTGTATATAAATTTGCATGAAAAGTCATATCTTTAATATATATTATTCTTTTATATTTTATTATATTATTAGTAAATACTATAATTAACATATTATAAGTGAAAATGATTGTTAAACAAGATTAAATTTTATGTTTATTGAATATAATACTCTCTATTTTGCTCAATTTTTTAATCATTTTTGTTTTATTTTAACTATAATTTAAAATATTAATGAAATATAAAAAAAATTCTTCTATTATATTCAATAATATATAAATTATATATTTTTTTGACTTATGACTCAATCTAATCTAATTATATATAATAAAAAAATTAGTATTTAAATGCTCACTTATTTAAAACAAAACTTTATGTCATTTTTATTTGGTAATAATTTTATTTTTGTTTTTAGATTAATAACATACAACAGTACAATATTTATTTTAAATTTTATTTATATTAATGTTGACTATTTAAGTCGATAGTAATATAGTAAATTAATAAATTTATTTTAAAATTTAATTTATATCATTATTTACTTTATGAGTTTATCAAATGATTCATATTTATTATAAAATATTTAATTTTTTAGAATAAATAAATAAATATAATTATGGTGATCTGATTAACCAACACGTTTATGATCAAGTTGGATTGAGTTAAATTTAAAAAGAAAAAAATATAAACTCAACTTAATCCAATCTATTTAATTTTGATTGAATCGAATAAGAGATTTATTCAAATCTGACTTAATTCAACACGTTTATACTTCTATAATTTCTTCCTAAATGATCAATATATTAGGAGTCAAAACATAAGAGAATCACCATATAATATTATAATAATAAATAATATTATAGTATTTTATTTTAAGTCAAAAAAGTTCATTGTAACATAAATGCTTTTTAATTAAACAAACAAATAAACTCAAAACATCACTTAAATGTGATTTCTTTTTACATCAACTAAAATGTGAAAGTTAAAAAACATAAAAGACAGTGCATGCATATGAACTCAAACCTTTTTAGTGGAATTAGGGTAGTATGCGGTATTATAGTGGTTATTATAATTTTGATGAATAAAAAAATATAAAATGTAAAATAATGTGTTAAAAAAATATTAGATATGTAATTTACTAAAATAATAATTGATATTTGAAAATATTATATTACATTCCCATTTCAAATCATGTTATTGCCATTGTAAACGTTAGGGAAATGTATGCATATTAAAAGCTTATTATCAAATAAAAAGTAATTATTATAAAAATTGAATTTATTTGTATAATTACTTTTTATTTGATAATATATTTTTAATGTGTATATTTATATTTTTTTAATATACAATTACAATACTAAGATGTGAATTTAGGACATTATGAATATTATCTCAACCATCTTATCATTAAGTCAACCTAACTAGTAATTGTATATAAATTTGCATGAAAAGTCATATCTTTAATATATATTATTCTTTTATATTTTATTATATTATTAGTAAATACTATAATTAACATATTATAAGTGAAAATGATTGTTAAACAAGATTAAATTTTATGTTTATTGAATATAATACTCTCTATTTTGCTCAATTTTTTAATCATTTTTGTTTTATTTTAACTATAATTT